ACTCTAAAATACATTCACAATGGAGTTAGAGGCAAATAATTCTTTAGCTTTCTTAAATGTTTTAGTCATTCGAAATCCTGATAACACAATTGGTCACACTGTGTATAGGAAAAAGACCTATACCAACCGATATTTAAATGGTGAATGTCACCATCATCCTTCACAGTTAGCTACCGTGGGTAAATCTTTGTTTCAGAGAGCACAAGGGATCTGTGACAGAAAACATCTGGCTGCCGAACTTCAGCACGTCAAGCAAGTATTGCAAGACAACAAGCTTCGGGTCCCGCGCCTACGTCACAGTGAGCGAGTGAAGCCGGCCACAGTCGAGCGTATACCTGCTGTACTAACATATGTCAGAGGAGTCACAGACAAGGTTGGCTACATCTTGAAGCGACCTTCCATTAAAACACACTACAAGCCGCCGAAGAAGATTAGTCAATTTTTACCATCCGTCAAGTGTAAAATCCCTCTACAAGATGCAGGAGTGTACAAGTTAGATTGTGAATGTGGTCTCTCTTACATAGGTCAAACAAAAAGATCCATAAAAACCCGCGTGAAAGAACATATAGCGGACGTGAAGCACCGACGCTCCGGGAAGTCTGCAGTCTGCGAACATGTCCAACATCGTCCCCACCATTACATTCGATTTGATAAACCACAAATTCTCGCAAAAGAACACCGATTCCTACCAAGGATGATACGCGAGGCTATTGAAATTAAAAAACATCCAAATTTCAATAGAGAAGATGGATGGGTGCTGCCACCTGCTTGAGATCCTATAATTAACAAAATTAAAACCAAACCTGAGCATAACGCTGCAAGACTTCATGATACTATAAGCTCGTTTTGCGTAAATCGGACCAAAAATTCATATTCAAAAACTGAAGGTAGCCGGACTAACTATGACATAGGGACATCAAACATCTCAGTCCCCCCGTGACCATGGGTGCTGTAAAGCACCCGAAACGCCGGAAATTAAAAATAAGTAAAAGTAATGAAATAAACGCGATAAAATCCGTAAATTCAGTTTTATTCAATGTGTAGTGTTCGCGCAAATTTAAGAAATCATTATATGAAACGTTTTCATATACTCACGAACCGTGTAGTGTTGGTGTGAGAATATTCACCACCCCATATTATCCCTTTGGTGTCGTAGGAGGCCAAAGAGGGAAAGAAACAATGGGCCGCAGCATCTTCCTAAAAACAGCTAAAAAAAACTGCATTTACTAGCCCGCTTTCCAGGTGTGACACACAGTCAACCGTAGATTACCGTAGGGGTAACCGTAGGAGGGCTATATTCAGCAGTGGACTGTAGGTAGGCTGTAATGATAACGGTAAAATATGATCGAATTTGCATTTCGAGTTTCTGTAAATCGCTATAACGAATTACACCATATCAAATATCGATTTAGTTTACAAATGTGAGAAATTTATTCGTATCATAAAACCTCTATTGATGACAAATTATCGTTATAGGCCGCGCCCGAGGTGAAGTGCCAGCACAAGCTGGCCACTTTGGAGTGTTAGTAAACTGCGCGAGAGCGGAGTTATCTCCTCCTATAGACGTAGCTGAAATGGTAGAGAGGAAATATAAAAAGGAAGGTATCAAATACAGTGTGAGGATATCCGGGCTGCAAGATAAGAATAGATTTTTGACGCGTTGAGTCTGAGCGACCAAACTTATAAACCAAAAGAGACAACTGCAGTTCGGACTGACTTTAATCGTCAATCTCGTATTTTTTCGGTCTACTAACAGATAATTAATTTGATGCTAACTTAAAACTAACTCAGGATATAAATGTAATTATAAAATTTATACTGCTAGATATCGATGGTATTATAAAATACTTGCTCTAATATCCAGGAAGAAAACAGGAATACGTTGTGTATGTATTAAGCGCTGATATCCTCTTATTACCTATCCGAGAATAAACTTGTCGGTTGCCTACGTATTTTGTATATTGATTAGAATTGGAACTTATTACTTGAAACATGCTAGGCAGGTTTATAAATGACATTTTTTCATCATCAGCGCATTTTCTGATGTAGGATTCCTTGTATGGGTTTGCCGTAACCACTCTACCCTACTGTGCACTATACGCTACTGTGGTCAGTTCTGGTTTATTTTAATCAACTCTATCTTGAAGACCTTTATTCGATTGTATGTGATTAAGAGGTAGTGTGTCAAGATTAATATGATTCCCCGTTTTCTTTGTGGTCCACTACTTCGAAAAGAAAAAGTATTTAATAATTAAAACCCGACTCCGCATAATAACACTTTACATTTTAGATCTTAATTGTTAAAAACATAATAATTGTTTAATGTTTGAAGTTGTAATAAAGAGTGAAACGAGATGGAACTTTAGCTTTTCTATGAACCATGCGATACAAACTAAGGAATCTTATAATACGTGTGAGAATTTTCTGTGATGTTTTTGATTAGGTTAACAAATGTATTTTCATAGAGGACGTTTAAAAGCGGCAATGGGGCATTAGTATGTATGTTGCGAACTATTTTCTTGCTTATTTAGTATTTTTGTGGCTATTATCTGTAAATGTATAGTAGACAGCATAAAACATATAGCAATTTTCAATTTGGCATTAATTGTAAGAGCATGTTTAGCAAAGAATGTGAAGAATGTGACGGGCTGTAATGTTGATGATGGTGATAATGTTTCAATACATGAACTCGACGACCTGGTAAGACATAAAGAAAATAGGTGATATCAGACATCTCTGGGTAGTTTTTTTGGAAAGCTGGTAAGGAGGAGCTGGCTGTTCAGGTATGAAGAGTAAATGTTGTTGATGATGATGTTATAAATCAATATTTTATTTTAAGTAGGTATTTTGCGATATACAACATGTAACAAAAACCGGCCACCACAGATCCGTTGAGTGTGACAACGGAATCAGTATTCAAATGTATAGAAATAACAAAAAGCTCGTCCATAAAAAAAATTGCTTTTTGTTTGCAAATTGTATGTAGTTTTATCACCTCTGTCAAGCGTATCGGTAAAGCACAAGGTACAATTTGCAAATAAAAAATGTATTTAGTTTTCGTTTTTTTTACGAGTTACTGAAGTAAAGTTATTTCTATACGTTTGAATACTGATTCTGATAACACACTTAACAGGGAACACGGCGTTTTTGTTACATGTTGTATGTAAAATTCAAGTATATAATTATATTATATTTCTAAAATATATTGACAAATACACTGAATTTTGTTAAATATGTCTTTATGTCGTATGTTGCAAAGGTAACTGTTTATAATCTTTTGTAAATTATAAATTATATAAATTGCTCTTATTACATGTTGCACACCAAACTTATTTGTTTGCTTTTGTTTCGTATTAAATATCATCCTTAATTTCTTCATTTTGAGATATAGATGCTGAACCTGAATAAGTTTATACTTTATCAGAAGAGTATTATTGCATTTTATTAGATATGTTAGATATTATAATAATGTTACAGTCTTACTATTGCTTCATTTTCCATCTCATACGAGTCAAACTTGTCTTTTTATCTTCGCCTAGCTGCCATTTCACGACTTGTGGATCGCATTTTGTGGCAGCTTCGGCCCACATCTCGTTTGAGTCCGTCACAAATAATAATTTATCTGATCACTAAGAGAACATTTCATTAACGTTTTTGTTGGATGTGACCCTAATCAACGACTTGAACTCAATAATAAGCAACGCGTAATAAACAAAAACGCGCATTCCAATAATACACTAAGACGTTATTTATTACGTAATCTACCATCCTTAAGGGCGTTGTATAGGCTGAATGATGTTACAAAATTTAATTAACCTCATAAATATAACATTTATTAAAATTATATAAAATATTTAATTGAAAACTATTTTGTACAATAAGTCGAAATGGGGGACTTACACAATTACATATGCCATTTTTTACTAGCCAATCGGAAAGGTACTGTGAGGAGTGTGATCATGCGATGATTAATATATTTTTTCTTAATCAAAATAAAGGTAATAATAGCTTACCAAATAGTAGCATACCGACTAAAAAGCCGCCAACTTTATCTATTTTTAATAAAAACAGTTACAGTAATCAATGTTGCTAATTTTTTTGCTTTTTTCTGTTATTTGTAATGTTTTAATTCCTAAAAAATATTATAAGATTGTCAAAAATATCAGAGTTTAGGAAAAATATAAACATCACACATTGATCTAAAGCTATGATGTATGATCATCCTAGTTAGAATACGAGGTCATAGTCATGAAAAGCTGTAAATAGTTTAATTATGGGTATGAATCCTTTGTTCTCATAAGATTGTAATTAGTTACTTTTTACTATATTATATACAGGTATGGATATAATAAATATTTTAGATATTTATAAGAAGTAATTCTGTAGTTTACATTTTAAGAGGATCCAAACGAGTATGCAGCTCATCAAATGGTTAGTGATTACCGGCATCTATAAACAACTGCAACACCAGGGTAATTGCAGGGACCTTAAATTTGTAATTAGCTGTAGCCCGCTGGTAACAAGAGGACTAGTTTTCCTCTCGTCTAGAGGTTATATAAATAACGCACCCATTTTTTTCTTTTCGTCGAGGAGTAGAGCTAAGTAGGAAAATGGAATAAATATTGTTTCGTATATTGAGCAGTTGCACAAATGTAACGAGTGTGTATTATAAGATTTTATAATACGAGATACTGATGGAAGTTGTTTAAACAGTTTAATTTTAAGATATTTTAATAGTTTTTAGTTTAGTTACAGCTGTGTGTAATATTTTTCAAATATATACATATTATATTGAAGCTGTATAAATTTTTGATTGCTATTGAAGATTTGGAGTAAGCTCTAAATCTTCACACATTCTTCATCATATTAGATCGAGACAAAACCCACGAATAAAAATAAAGAAAGAAATACTAAAATATTGCAAGTGAAAGTCAATTTATTTTCAAATCAAATTAATTTAAGCTAAAATTTCACAAATGGCGAGTAAATGTCGTGCCATACTAAAGGGCGATGGGGGCGACAGGAGCGGCGTAAGTAATTGGTGTCGTGAGAGTTATAAGTGGAGTAGCATCAGGACAAGCTGGCGCAGCCACCACAGGCTTAATGACGTCACGTTTTTTCAAGAAATGAATGCCGCTGTTGATAGCGATAGGAGCAGAACGGACCAAGTTCACATCCAAAGTGTCAAGAGGTCTGCCGTCAGAACCGAGAAATTCGGCAGGTTGACCGAGAGCTAGAGACCAAATTCCACGGTAGTTGCTGTATGCGTACGGTGCTCCATAACCAAGGTGTGCAGCGTATGCGTAAGGAGTTGTTAATGAAATAGCCAACAAGCAAGAAAACACTACGAGCTTCATCATTTTGAAAGGAGGCAGTTTTCTGTATAAGGAAAGACTGATGCTGTTGCATTGGGTATCCTTACTTTATATACTTGTGCTCAAAAATAATTGAGCGTCTGCGGAATCCATCGCTAGCCTTGAAAGAACTACTTTTGTAAAGTAATTCAACTGTTTTATTTGCTATTTTTGTTGTCATTTGACATTTGATCATTAAAATACGTGTAATATAAAAAACGAATATCACAAGTGTAAAGTAAATTGCAGTCGCTTAGAAATTATTTACAATTATTTTCATATAAAATCATCACCACTGTCAACAGCCTTTTTAGCCCACGGCTGGACATTTCTTAAAATGGGCCTACTAGAATGCAGTACAGTATTGCCATAATCTCGACGCTAGGCACTGGCAAAGTTGCGCCCCATTTCAAGTTTGTAAAATTCTAGTTCAGCGTCTTGTGACTGGATTTTTCGTTGAATAAAACTAAATTTACGGATTCTATCACGTTTAATTGATTATTTTTACTTATTTTTAATTCCCGACGTTTCTGGTGCTTTACATCACCCATGGTCACGTGGGGGGGGGGGGGGGGCAGAGATGTTTGACGTCCCTATGTCATTGTTAGCCCGGCTACCTTCAATTTTTGAATATGCATTTTTGGTCCGATTTACGCAAAACGAGCTTACAGTATCTTGAAGTCTTACAGTCGTATGCTTTGTTTTGGGTTTAATTTTGTTAATTATAGGATCCCAAGCAGATGGCAGCACCCATCCATCTTCTCTATTGAAATTAGGATGTTTTTAATTTCAATAGCCTCGCGTATCATCCTTGGTAGGAATCGGTGTTATTTTGCGAGGATTTGTGGTTTATCAAATCTGATGTAATGGTGGGGACGATCTTGAACTTGTTCACTAACTGCAGACTTCCCGGAGCGTCGGTGCTTCACGTCAACTATATGTTCTTTCACGCGGGTTTTTATGGATCTTTTATCCATAAAAAACGACTAACAATGACATTGGGACGTCAAACATCTCAATCCCCCCCGTCACCATGGGTGCTGTAAAGCACCCGAAACGCCGGGAATTAAAAATAAGTCAACATCATCATCATTACAGCCCTTCCCAAGTTCACTGCTGAACATAGGCCTCCCCCAAGTAATGCCACAAAGCACGGTCCTGAGCCACCTGCATCCACCGACTTCCTGCATCTCTTACCAGGTCGTCACTCCATCTAGTGGGGGGTCGCCCTACACTACGCCTACCGGTACGAGGCTGCCACTCGAGAACCTTTCTTCCCCATCGGTTATCGGTTCTTCGAGCTATATGGCCGGCCTATTGCCACTTCAGCTTACTAATCCGTTGGGCTATGTCGGTCACTCTGGTTTTACTGCGGATATCCTCATTTCTGAGTCTATCACGCAGAGAAACTCCGAGCATAGCCCTCTCCATAGCTCGCTGAGCGATCTTGAGCGTCCTCATACGGCCAGCAGTGAAGGACCACGTCTTAGATCCGTAAGTCATCACTGGCAACACGCACTGGTTGTACACTTTAATTTTCAGAGATTGAGGTATACCTGACGAGAAGATGTGTCGTAATTTCCCGAACGCTGCCCAGCCGAGTTGAATCCGTTGATTGACCTCTCGGTCGAAGTTGGACTTACCTAGTCGGACTACTTGTCCCAGGTAAACGTACTCGTCAACAACTTCGAGCATAGTGCTCCCAACAACTACCAGCATAATTGTGACATTGATATTAAACATGATCTTTGTTTTGTCCATGTTCATCTTAAGACCTATCCGTTGGGAGACACCATTGAGGTCATTGAGCATAGTGCTAAGGTCCTCCAGTGATTCTGCCATAAGGACTATATCGTCGGCAAATCGAAGGTCAGTGATGTACTCGCCATTGATGTTAATACCGTATCCTTTCCAGTCCAGTAGCTTGAAAACGTCTTCCAACGCAGCGGTGAAGAGTTTCGGGGATATAACGTCACCCTGTCTTACACCTCTCTGCAGTTGGATAGGTTTCGAACTCTGGTTCTGTACTCGGATAGCCCTCGTAGCCCTACTGTACAAACACTTCAGCACTTCGATATACCGACAGTCAACTTGGCACCGCTGAAGGGACTGTAGCACCGCCCAAATTTCGATTGAATCAAAGGCTTTCTCATAGTCCACATACGCCAGGCAAAGTGGCAGATTGTACTCATCGGTCTTCTGTACAATCTGCCGCAGTGTATGTATGTGGTCTATGGTACTGAAGCCTTTTCGGTAACCGGTTTATTCGGGAGGCTGGATCGTCGAGTCTGCGTGCGAGACGATTCGTAATGACTCTCGAAAACAGCACGTAAACGTGGCTCAGAAGGGAAATCGATCTGTAGTTCTTCAAGAGAGCGTTGTCGCCTTTCTTAAAGAACAGGACCACCGCACTTCTGCTCCACGCCTCCGGAGTAGCGCCACCATGGAGGACGGAATTGAAGAGCTTCTGAAGGACTTCAAGTACCGGTGTTCCACCCGCTTTCAGAAGCTCCGCTGCAAGTCCATCCTCGCCTGGGGCCCTGCCGTTTTTAAGGTGCTGGAGAGCCATCCTAATCTCGCTCAGACTGACGTCCGGGATATCATCGGAATAGTGTCGGGTAAGACTTGCTCTCGGATCGTTACTCACACTTGCGTGTGGCTCCAACGATGACGTGTACAGCTGCCCATAGAACCTCTAAATTTCACTCAAAATCTCAGGTGTCCCAGAAACGATGCTGCCACACTCAGTCTTCAGCTTTGTCAGTTGGCTCTTTCTGGCAGACAGATCTCTGGCAAAGACTTTGGAGCCCTGGTTCCGCTCGATCGCTTCTTTAATACGAGCAGTATTAAAGTTGCGTAAGTCTCGCCGCATGCATTTGGAGATCAGATCTGTTCAGTTGCCTGTATGCTGTCAAATCTGTTGACGATTGCAGCCTCATCTCCCGTCTAACAGTAAAAGTAAGTTAAAAATAAGTAAAAGTAATTAATTAAACGCGACAGAATCCGTAAATTTAGTTTTATTCAATGTGTAGTGTTCGCGTAAATTAAGAAATCATTATGGATTTTCCGTGATCAGGCCACGTACGCGAACTAATAATATTTTCCCTCTTTACTGGCCAATAAAGTTTCATGCCCGGACATGAGCCTCTCCTGTTTTAAGAAGATTTTCCTGAATCGCGACACTTGGCAGCCGGATTAGGATCACTGTTCTGATGCTGATAGCTGTCAGTGGTGCAACTATCTTACGTCTGATTATCTAACGCGATCATTATACTTTAATAGCATTTTTTCTTTGTCTTACTACAAATACTGGACTAAATGGGGTGATGGATTCTTTTACGCTGCTATGCGCAAGTGAGGTTCCAAAAAATTCTACTGTGTAAAAAATCTGTACTGACGTAGAGTCCCATGGTATTGCAATCAGAAAATTTGTTAATTTCATTATGGCTACTCATTATTTAATATATATTAGTAGAGCCACACCGCAGCTATTATGGTTGTAGTCTGAATGGGTCGGCTCAACCGGGAAAGGACCACGCTCTCACAGAATACCAGCGTAAAGTAGCAGCTTATTGCTGCTGTATTTCGTATGGTGAGTGCAGAAAATTGGAGACCCGTTTTACTGGAATCGAGTCATTCTATCTTAGTCCTCAAGGATGACAACGCATCTGCATTTGGATTCTTAAGCGAGGTTCAAGGTAGATGTCTATGGGTCACAGCAACCACTTACCATCAGGTGAACTGTATGCTCCTTTGTCACCCCATACTATAAAAAAAAGTTCGATGCAGGGGTCCATAGACTGCTGTAGCCACATACTAGGTTTTGGCAATTCTCCACAGTCTCAAAGTCTCAGAACACCGCACAACCCACTGTCAAAGTTTCACATATCCTGGAATTTTCTTTAATTTAATTTTTTTCTTTGAATAGAAAAAAATACCTCCACATTAGTATATTATCGAGAAAGGTTTTTTAAAATATCATTAAATTACTCGTAAATGTCACAAGCATCAATAACCTCATCCTTATGATTACACGCTTAAATGGGTATGGACGGGAAACTACAAAGCCGTGGCATTAAATCTATAATTCCACTATTGTTTTAAAGCATCGTGCACAAGCGTTTTAAGCTTGGTTAAATTAATTAACGAGAAAAGTAATAGTATAAATTATTAGTCATGGTATTGTTTTTAATATCAAATTAAAAACATATATTTTTTCATATAAAAAGTTGACAATACTTTTACTATGACTATGATTCTAATGGAATAAGGTTAAATGGCTAGTAAATTTGAATATAAAGTTATGACATCTTTTAAGAAGATATTACAGCAGCCATATTAAAAATTGAATAGCATCTGTTTGATCTTTTGAAACGTTTTACTTACCCAAGTTATGGTAATTTGCTAAGCTTTTCATTGATATTAAAAAAAGGTTATATGGCAATGCTTTTAAGTCTCTGACATTTTACTTACTTTTATAATATTATTTCATTATGATTGGTACAATCAAGTGGTTATAAAATGTCAGTTGAAGGATAAAACTGAATAAAAAAAGTTAAAAAATATATTTATTTTCCAAAATTTATATGTACCTTTTGTTTTATCGTATTAAATTTTCTGTAATATATGGTATCCTATTTTAAAAGTAATAAATTATTCATGAAGTTACGTCATACTACGTGAATACTAAGTGACATGGAAGTAGGACGTTACCACGTGCTCACACTTCTACAATACAGTTTCAGATCTTTAATCAATTTCATACAAAATAGTGTTATAGATTTGTTTTATTTAAAAAAAACTCGTCAACCAAAAGTCATATTAATATTAAAACACTTAATATTGAGATTGAAAATAGGACATAATAAGTTTTGCGGCATTTAATGTCGTTTTTATTAATTCTTTTCATAATAAATTGCGAACTTTTCTTTATTTGCACACGTTTTTAATTGAATAAATATATACTTGAAATTACAACGCAAAATTTATTGTTATATTAACTTGGTAGTGATGAACTGATTATTTCGATGCCCTTGTCAAGTGTAAATATCAGCTTCCTGGACACGGTCTTCATACCGGTTTGCAAAACGGGATCGGTCTTATCCTTTATGATTGTTTTCTATAAATACTATAGTACTTTGGTTTTGAAATCAGTAGTAGTTTATCGAACAACACAGACCACAATGTTTAAGTTGGTGGCATTGTGCACTTTCTTGGCTGTGGCGGCAGCCAAGCCTGGTTTACTTATCGCGCCAGCTGCTTATTCAACGACCATAGTAGAACCCGCGAGGACAACAATATCAGAACAGGCCAGCAGTGTCATCCATCCATCACCGGCTTTCTACTCCGCTGGATACCAATTAACGCATTTCATAAACAAACGATCAGCACCAGTGGCCTTTAACAGTTATTTAGATCCTGCTCACTACATAGCCGGTACTCCGCTTGCGACAACATACTCCTATACTGCACCGTTCGTTCAAACATCATCGATCCTGTCAGCATCACCTGTATACACCAATACTCATTTCATAAAGAAGAGGTCTGCACCAGTAGTAACTTCGTATATTGCTCCTAGTACCTATGCTGCTCCATGGTATACCTACACCGCCGCTTCGCCCGTAATTTCGACTCCTCTCATTTCGTCATATCCTATTTCTTATCAACCATACTTTATTAAAAAGTGATGAGTTTAATGCAGTTGTTCGCCACTTAATTTTTTTCTCTTATTTGTGTAAAATATTTTCCAAATTCTATGCATATAAAGCAACAAAACGACACTCTTGTATTTGGTTTGTTACCGTAGTTTTTCATACGTTTTAAATGAATTTTGTAAAGCTGCATATTAATTATTTTTCTGTTTGACCTATTAAAGAATTAATCAAAATAAATTGTTCAGATACTGTTAATATTATATTCCAATAAAAAAGTACTTAAGAGTAAGGTTTTTTTTTACTAGCCTTTGTCCGCTATTTTGTTCGTGTGTCCTGTGTAGTAACTGCATATTTTTTAAACAAAAATAGCTTTTATGTATGTCACTCTACACCCATACACTATTTCTAGACCATGGGTTCTTAAAGAAGGGGGCGCGCCTCACATGCTGGTCTCACATGACTCATGAAGAGGCGAGGTATCTTTCTTAGGTACCTCGTGCCGACTTAAAATTATTTTTATTCTTATAGGGTGAAAGCTCATTAACAATTCACATAATATGTAGTGTTAGTGTATCTGTTAATTTTGAAATACAATTAATATGAAATCACATTACGATCCTGAAAGTCTCTTTATTTTCTGGTAGCAAAATATATTATTTTTAAGGAGATTCAACTTGTGATAAAAACACTCTTATCTTAAATTAAGCAAATATCAACGACAGAGAAGTTAATAGTCAGCGCAAACGATGCTTTAACGGGAAATTGGAGTCACTTGAAACATATCAGTGGATCCGTGGCATTCATTGGAATTTTTAGCATTTATATCAGCTGGCCAGCCGCATATTCGATAGACGCCACGATCAAGCTATGTTCAAGTCTTTTGTTAGTAACCTTGTGCCATTGCATTAAATATCTTAAATCATGTTAGGGTACGGTTTTTGATAGCAATTCGTGAGATAAACCTCCCCTGTTCCTTTTAACAAATTAAACGAAAAAATAAATGGAAGAGAAAATATGGTGTAGACGTTTAGAACAAATTTTAAACAATTTAAATTTTTAATTTAAATTACATTATTTAAATTTATTATACATATAAATCTATTACTTAAATTTAAAATTTTAATCCAGATGCCTTATTAATGTCAGGCTAGCAACACAGATCTCATTCTTTATCGGACACTATGCTAATGGTTGCGATGTATAATGATTTGAATAAGAAAAGGTCCTCAGTGGAAAATTTTAACAATGTAATTCTAAAAATGATATTATATCTATAATACCATCCATGCGTATTAAGTTAAAAAGCTTACAAATTTAAAAAGCGTGTTTCAGCGGTATCACGTGGATGAGTAATTTTATATTAGGTATCTTCGAAATGATATGAACTAATAACATACTGTTAAGGGCTAATCCTATCTCCGTAAATTAGTTATTATAATTTAATGATTTATTTTAATAACTAGACAAAAACCGTGATAGCTCGGCAAAAACAAACGATACACATATCAAACTTATAGGCTATAGCACTCAAGGATAATGTAGCTCTCTATGGGTAAAAGAACGATTTTGTGGTGAAGTCGGAGATAGTGGAAACAGGGAATTGTGTTGGAGGCGGAAAGAATAGTGACGGCGCGTGGTGGTGGCGGCGGAGGGAGCGGAGTTTATTGTTGAGGCGGATGGAGCAGAGTTTATGGTGGAGGTGGAGGTAGCGGAGGTGGAGGACGAAAGCTTAGAGAGGGGTGCGGTGGTAGATGTGGAGGCGTAGGTGGCAGAAGTGGTGGTGGGTGCACTGGAGTGCAGTGAAGTGGGTATCGCGTGAGGGCAAGTGAGGCTCATATAAAGGACAGTTGGTTACAGCGAAAAACAGTGCGGTTGGTACGTGGATATCGATAATGCCCCTAAAGATGTTACTACGAGGTTATTCATTTTCCGAATATCAGCTTAGATACCTATTGGTACTAGAGACAAAGTGAAAAGAACTTTTGTTTTGTGACGGTTTCATCATAACTAACAAAACAAACCCAAACTCGGCATACCTAGTTCTACTAGTCCAGGTGTTACAGTGTTAGTTACCGAAGTACACTTTCAGGTCACTTCAGCAAGTCCGGAGGTAAGGACTCATCATAACAAACAAAACGAGCCCAAACTCAGCACACCCAATTCTATTAGTCCAAGAGTTCCACTAGTAATCCCGAATTACATTTTGAGGTCACTCCATCAAGACCGGAGGTAAGGTCTCATGATAATATCTCATGTAATAGTTCGATTCTATACCTATCAATTTCGTAAACGCGTCCTTAAAATTCTTGATTATGAAGATGTAGAAAACATGTTAACTGGTTTATGGTAAACACACACACACACACACACACACACACACAAACACGCAAGCGCGCGCGCAACCATGCACACATGCGCACACGCACAAACGCATACACACACACACACACGCACAAACACAACAGTGCACACATTCACACACGCACACCCAATCACACACACACACGTACACATACGCACATGCACACATATGCACACAAAACACACACACACACACACACACACGCACGCACGCACGCAAACATGCACTCAGAGGAATACCTTATGTCGCCGTTGCCACCACTTCCGCTACAAGAAGGGGCGTTGTCGAGTAATTCGTTAAAAAGTCGTTTATTTCGACCACAAGGATCATAGATGTTAGTAATAATACAAATCTTAAAACTAATTTTCGTAAAACTTAAAACTATTTACCTAATTTTAAAACTATATATAAGACAGGCCCAATTAGTCAGCACGTGGACCATATGGCAATGGTTCAGGTACTGACCTCAAACCTGTCAGAAAATGCCCTCAGGATACCATTGGAACCGGCCCGCACCCTGCGCTCCAGGGATGTGCATCTTTTACGCATGGTGGTGTACAAACAATCCACACGCGCATCCGCGAACATGCCCGGCGCATTACAATAACGAGGTAGACCAAACAGCACCCTGAATGCATTACATAACATGCATTTAATCTGTAGCTTGTACCGCCAAAAATACGAAACGGCAACGTCGCGGCTGCATTCAGCCAATCCGATCGTTTATCTTATCGTTTGCTGTGCTCGGATTGGCTCATTTAAATCGGATCAACATTTTCCGTAACCATCGCAAGGTGGATTTGTATATCGGATCAACTTCGGCCAACGCTAGCAAACGGTCTCGTGAGTGCAAATGTTGATCCGGTCGGAGCCACATTAGTTACCAGAGATGCATATTGGATCAACAAAAGGCGCCGGATCAACATGCGTTTTCGGATCAAAAAAGTGCTCACGTGAAGTCGCGTCTGATCAACATTTACCGTAAAGAGATCTCTATATATATATATGTATCACCTGGACTAGTAGATCCAGGTATGCCGAGTTTGGGTTTGCTTTGTTAGTTATGATGAAACCGTCACAAAACAAAAGTTCTTTTCACTTTGTCTCTAATACCAATAGGCATCCAAGCTGATATTCGGAAAAATGAATAACCTCATAGTAACATCGTTAGGGGCAGTATCGATATACACTTACCAGCCACACTGTTTTTCGCTGTAACCAACTGTCCTTTATATGAGCCTCACTTGCCCTCACGCGGTAACCACTTTACTGCACTCCAGTGCACCCACCAACACCTCTGCCACCTACGCCTCCACATCTATCACCGCACCCCCTCTCTAAGCTTTCGTTCTCCACCTCCGCTACCTCCGCCTCCACCATAAACTCTGCTCCATCCGCCTCAACAATAAACTCCGCTCCCTCCGCCGCAACCACCACGCGCCGTCACTATTATTACCGCCTCCAACACAATTCCCCGTTTCCACTATCTCCGACTTCACCACAAATTCCTCTCCTCCGCCTTCACCACATACTACGCTGCGTTCACCTCCGCCTCCACGTCTCCATTCTCCGCCTCCGTTTTCTGGGCACACACACACACACGCGCACACACACACGCACTCAGACGAACACGCACGCACGCACACACACCCGCACGCAAGCACACGCACGTACATACACACACAAACACGCACTCAGATGAACACACATGCACGCACACACACAGTACGCACGCACGCACACGCACGCGCATACACACACGCGGGCTCTCGTGTACTCACATAAATACATCCATCATCTTCTAATTGATCTATGAAAAATGAATAAAATAACACAAATTCACTCACACGATAACAAAAACTCGAACAAACGTCTTTCCGCAATAAAACCTGCCAAAGTTTGATCCACAAAATCAGCAGATAACGTATTTTCTTACCTAATTACTATAAGGAAGTAGCCTACTGGGTTCTCTGTCACACACAGAACGCGACGTTGCCGCTTCATGTTCGAGTACCTATTCGTCAATTATGGCTCCGGATCCACTTAGTCTAAGTAAATGTCGCATATAAATTAAATATACTCTGGATCTAAAAAATCATATTCAGTATGATTTTTTCGACCGTTGATAGATCAACAAATGTTGGTCAAATCGCTGACGAGTATATTGAAATCCTGTTAGTGCAGATGCAATGACGTCACACGCGCATCAAGAATGGATCAAAGTATATCAGTTTGTGCGACGAGGAGCTGAGCAAACACGTCAAATAGGTGGATCAACAATTGTTCTAACTTCTCACTGGATCAACATTTACCGTGAAAGGATGATTATATATATATATCGAAGACATGTGAAGTCCGCCAACACGGATTGCTTTAGTATAGAAAAATCAAAACAAATATAAAATTTAGTAATTTACTTTGTTTCTTATGTAATAATTTAAAATATAGAAGTAATAAGTATTTTTGAACCAAGTAAATTTATCAATGTTTTTACCACGTCATACTAAGTTGAATAAAAAAAAAAAAGATAAATCAATAGCTTTCATACGTTCCGATTTGGTTCCTTAACCGTTACAGCCTATCTAAGTCAACTGCTGAACATTGGCCTCCCCCTTGGATTGCCTCATAGGACGGATATTTGGCATAGTTGCCATGCTTGGCATGATGCTGAAGAGAAAAGAATACTCAAGTTTCTCATGTATTATAAAATATAAAGTATTGGTATAATATATACGTACGAATGTCCTAGCGTTATCACTGCGCAATGAAAGCGTTTTTATAGGGTTTTAATTAATATTTTTTTAGCAAAAGTTGCAGATTTGGGTTAATGTATTTCTATCTGTTAATGTTTCATGTTTACAAATATAGTAGGAGTGAAACAGTATTCTTAATTTCATCCAAAATTTCTGTGGAAATTTTTAAGAAAAGCGCAGTGAAAATAATTTATAGGTACTATATATATTAAGACCTGCAAATAAAATTAGAAATGTGCAAGTTACTTTATTGTTTAAAATAACATTTTTTTGAAATCTTACGATACAAGACTATTTCGCTTTCTAAATTAGAGAATATATTATTGGCACGAACCATATGCCATAGTACAATCGTAGTCAACAATAAATTGAAAAAACGTAGCCCCAAAAGCTATTTTTAAATCGATAGTAAGGTGTTACTCACCTTCTAATTCTAATACCTCGTAATGTCCAATCTTATTATGAAGGGCGTGAATTCCGACTTTTTATGTTGTCGGTGTTCAATGGCGTATCAAATCTATTATTATCTTCTAGGTCCCAGCCTGTCACTGTGATTCAGCACTTAAAGTATAAGTAGACGGTTCCCTACTTGGAAAACATTAGTTTACTTTGCACTTAAGGTTAAGAAGTCAAGTGTGCAACTCAAACAGGAAAAATGTTGAAGTTCGGCCTGCTCCTTATCTGCTTCACACTGTGCCAAGGCCACGCTGTATCACCAGTGCTTCTACCATTGCCAGCAGTGCATACGGTTTACGCCAAACCCGTATTAGCTTCATATCCGTTGCACCACGGATATGCAGCCCATCGATTATTCGGTCACGGAGTCATTGGTCCAATAGCGCATCATTTATACAAACGATCAGCACATGTCGCTCCGGTTGGTCACATTGCGGCTGTCGATCATATTGCTCCTATCGCGCATATTGCGTCCGTGGCGCGTGTGGCTCCAGTAGCAGTATCTCACCAAGAGCGTGTGGATGTACGTTCATCGCCAGCTTTTGTAGCAGCACCCATTGTACCCGTAGTCAAGCCAGTGCTGACATCATTCGCACCAGGAGTTGGTCACTACGGCGCGGAACACTATGCTTCGGTATACCCTCATCTGGTACATTATTAAATAATGAATGTAGCGGCTCATTAATTGCGTGATTGAATTAATCAAACTCATTTAATTAATGAGTGTAATTTTAACGTTATTCTTAATAAAAATTGCATGAACATCTAATGTTTTATTTCTAATTTATTTTTAATATTTGCTATAGTAGCATACTTGGGTGGCAACCATCTCTATTTTATTTTCATTTGTTACCTATTATGAATAATTTATTTCTCCACATTAAGTTAACTACTTAGATTTTTGACAAAGTAATAGGCTCAAAGTAATGTGAGTGACTGATGATGAGTGACACATGATGGTAAGTGGACGCTGTGGTCGATAAACATCTACATTTATCCTCAATTTGTAATCAAAATGCTGATGCTTTGTCACCCCTAAGTACTAAGATGAAATGCCTCGTTTCCACTATATATGGTCTCCGGTTCTCTACACTTACAATTTGAAAAACAGCAGCCTAAAGCCGCAATTTTACGCCGGTTTTCTGTGAGTACCCTTTACCTTTTCCTTTTTACGGGAAACGAGGCATTCCATCTTGGTCCTCAGGGGTTGAAAATGCACCTGCATTTTTTCTCGAGATCGAGGACAGATGTATATGTCTGTGGGACACAGCATCCACTTACCATCGGTTGGACTGTGGACTGGTTTGGCGACCTTATTCTGTAAAAAAACAATAAATATTTTTTTTAAATTAATAACAATGATACATGTTATTTTATTGTGTTAAGTTTTACTATAAGAAAGTAAGTCTTGTCTATTGTGACAGCCGCGTGACGTTATAAGCTAGTAGATTCTACGGCGTGACTACACGGCCACTATAACTTAGAAGCCTTCCTCCAGTATGATATTTGCACAAGCAATCTTCATTTTATTTTTAAAAACGTTATACATGTAGTACGATTTTCCCCTGTATTCATGGAGGTAATTCAGACGGGAAATTATCATTAGTTGGCCATATAAACTCTAGTTCCTTCCAAAATAAATGCTAAGCCATTAGCTGATACCCGCATATATATATATATATATATATATATATATATATATATATATATATATATATATATATATATATATATATATATATATAAATATAAAAATTAATTCTTCAGAAAATCTGAATATATATATATATATATATATATATATATATATATATATATATATATATATATATTCAGATTTTCTGAAGAATTAATTTTTGCATCTGCTTTGTTCTGAATAACAACTTTATTTTTATTAGGGACGCCTTATACTTGCAGTACTTACTTAGCACTTAATTCTTCGCTATTAATATTTATCGTATATCTATTTTAGTTTATGTAGCGATAGCAATGCAAATTTCAACAGTTCGTTGCAGTGAAAAGTTTAGAGCACCTAGATTTTAAACTTGGCACCTAATTAGCACATAAAAAGTCCCTAATTTTGGCTTTTTCTAAATGAAAATTCCTGATTTTGCGTTGCTGCCGAGACAGCATTGATTACTGGCCTATCGGACTTTAAAAGTGAGGGAATAGAAAGTGCACTTGTGCTTTCGCATATACTTAGGCACTATAATCAGTTCCCGCGCAGATGGGTAGCCTTCTTTAAAACTAGACGCCGTGACCTACATTCGGTATGGAGGTTTTTTTTACGTGGTAGAGCCATACTGCAGCTATATTGTGGTTGCAGCACGAATGGGTCGGCTCGACCGGGGTGGGACCATGCTCTTACAGAATATCAGCGTAAAATAGCAGCTTAATGCAGCTGTGTTTCGTATGATGCGTGTAGAGAACCGGAGATACCTTTTACTGGAAACAAGGCATTCCATCTCAGTACTCAGGGGTTGAAAATGCATCTGGATAATTTTATACTAACGCGGTCCCCTCGTTTTTTGGCTCTAAAGAATCGAAAAATCATCTGATTTCGATAATTAATACCGATTTCATAATTTTAAATTTTTTAATTAATATCTATTTGTCTATCTATCTATCTATCTATATATATATATATATATATATATATATATATATATATATATATATATATATATATATATATATATATATATATAGATATTAATTAAAAAAACTAATATTAATTAAAAAACTTACTAGATGGAGTGACGACCTGGTAAGTCATGCAGGAAGTCGATGGATGCAGGGGGCTCAGGACCGTGCTTTGTGGCGTTACTTGGGGGAGGCCTACGTTCAGCAGTGAACTTGTGAAGGGCTGTAATGATGTTGACGATATATATATATATATATATATATATATATATATATATATATATATATATATATATATATATATATATATATATATATATATATATATAGCTCGCTTCGTTCGATCTTACACTCTCAATAAAACACCAAAATATTAACTTTCATAATTATTTTGATTTTATAGAGTGTATATGATAACATATAAAGTCAGAAAACCATATAAAAACTTTAAGTGCGAAAAATTAATAAAAAACATTTTTCAATGTTTTTTTAAATTTTCGTTTTCTTGTGTAGATTAACAAAAAAAATATAAACTTCGTTTAATGCTTAGCAAAAAAGTTATGAACGATTATATTGGAAGAAGTGCATTTATGATCAAATTTAAAGTCATAAAACTATATGAAATCTTCAGATGTGATATTTTCCATATTTTTTTCATAAATCCACAGTAAAAGCGAAGATTTTACAAAAAAAATTCATCGAAATCGGATGATTTTTCGATTTTCTAGAGCCAAAAACGAGGGACCGCGAAAGTACCCGTATCTGCATTTTGATTCGTAGTTGAAGATATATGTAGATGTCTATGGGCCACAGTATCCACTTACCATCAGGTGGACTGTATGCTCGTTTGTCACCCTTATTTTTGCCTATAAAGTAATTTAGTGATAGCGGTAAAAGGTAATCCATCCCTTCACTTCGTCTCATTGGCGGTAGAAGAAAATCTTATAACAATTTCATTTATGCATACGTCATAAACAGTAAACATTGCTCGATGAGAGATGGGAAGAAGCAAAAAAAAAATGCGTAGCGTCTAAAACTGCGGTTAACAATTCACCTGTTTAGTGTGGTCAAGTTTGATTGGACGTATCTAACAATGAACTATACGGGGCGATAAACAATAAACGAGGATGAATGAATGTGATATTTAGTAATGTCCCCCAGGCCGATTTTTGTAACGGCAGCTAGTTCTACCCATATGTGCAGGATAGGATTATGCACGAGTGTGTGAACAAACACATTTGCAGTATGTATTTCCTAGATCTCACAGTCAGTTGAAATAGCAAATTAGAATCAACTGTGATATTTTTAATGAATTAATATGCGTCTATTCGCTTTAATAATTCTAACATCAATTAAGAGCAGAATTCGGATTTATAAATGCAAAAACGAAATCCCGTTTCAAAGTCATTTTTTTGAGTCAGCTTAGTTTTATTATGCATAAATTATGCTCTATGGTCTTTTTATTATAACTTATGAATTATTTAAGTAATTAATTATTCGTGTTATTCTACCGGGTGCTTATATATTACAGTAAAATGCTATTATATTATTTTAGCTATTAGTAGATAAAAAACATCTTCATGTTTCAGATCCTTGAAATTAATAATGTTTCAACTATATTTTGTATTACCACTTATGATTCTTGTATAATAGGTAGAAAAAAGCAAAACTATTATAAAATAATTTATTTAAGTAGAATTTCATTGCGTGAAATTTATACATCGTTGTAAGGAGACAGAGATTTGATTTGTTTTTACCAAGAATGAACGCCAACGGGTACAACAGCTGAAGCAACATATGGAGTACCGTATACAGTTGGTGCGATCAATGACGATCCATGAACCACGCTCGTACTGTATTGAGACACAGAACTGACAGCTGGCACAGCAGTATACGTTAAAGGCACCACGTATCCAGGCTTGGCTGCCGCGAGAGCCAGCACGAAGCACAACGACACCAGCTTATACATTTTTTTCTGCGTTGTGTACGTTGAACGAAGAAATTAGCTCAACTTATGCCTAATACACGTCGTGGGATGTTTTATATAGTTTTATCGACTAATGACCAATAAAAATGCTACAAAGCCACCTTCAAACTTCTGTGTCGCTGTCACACAGTATTGTTATGATTATGCAATAGAGCTACAATAAAATGTCAAAAGACGCGGAATCTGCTAATAATGTGTTATATTTGATATAGTTTATAAGTTTACTATTTTACATACACGAAATGTAAATAAGTTTTAGTTGAAAGAAGAGTAATTTTTTGGATATGGAACAATTTAAAAGTTAGGTTCTCACTATCGGAATTATTATGTATGTATCATTATGACTATCATGACAGCCTATCACGATTCAACTGCTGAACCTAGACCTCCCCTATAGATTGCCACAAAGTCCGGTCCAGAGGCACTTGCATCCATCAATTACTTGGGTATTTAATCATGTCGTCACTCCAACTAGTGGGGAGTTACGGTTGCAAAACTTTTGGTTGTTTATAACAGAACATCGTTCATGTGTAAGCACACATAGTATTTTCCATGCAATAAGACATTTTAAGAAAATAAATACTGTTAAAATTATAACTATATAATTATATTTGATAACTTTGAATGCATTTAGCTAGCAGACTATACAGGGTGTCCGGTAATGAATGGATAACCTTGAAATGTCTTATAGTACAACTTATGGCCGTCCTGAAAAAAATACGAAAAATAATATATCACAAATAGTACCTTTGATATATTTTTTTTAAAGAAAAGTCGAATCTTTTCTATCTTATTTTACTGTCTTGAAAACTATGACCAAAAATGAATGATTTCTATTGGTTTTTTGTTATATTATTATTATACACTAACTGTGCTTATAGGTATAATGTAAACAATATGGATAGCTTTTGCAGTGTTTATTTAAAAAATTCGCAAATCAATTTATTTCTGAAAAACATGCAAAAAATATTATTTAAGCGAAGTTCAAACCTCTTCGGTATGAAAAAAATGTATGAATGTATGGGTGACCA